CAGCCGGGGGCACCGGGGCATCCGGACCGGCCCTGAGGAAAGCCAGGGACATATCCGGGCCTGGCCTGGCCTCGCTCCGCTCCCATCACCTGGCTACGCTGGATGATGGTGAATTCTCACTGGTGACACAGTGTTTTTGGCAGCCCCGCTGCGGCTCCTCTGGACGGCCTCCTGTGTACCTCGAGCAGCAGGAGGACAGGACAGCTCCTTCAGTCCAGCCCCAGCGGCTGTGGGACACCGAGTTTTCTGTCAGCTGGAGCTTCTGATGGATCACTTCTCAGAGCTGTCTCTGGGATGGGTTACTTAAAAGAATCAAGTGAGGGCTGAGACTCCAGGACAATGCAGGCATGCCTCCAGGACACAGGCTTTCCCTGTCCCCCAGGAGGGCAGGGGGTGTTCAGCTTTGCTCATTTTTCTCCATGTGAGATCTTCCTTACTGTTCTTCAGCCACTCTAGCCTGCCTGGGTAGAGCATGGGTTTGATTGTGTCTGTCTGGTATGGATTGCCTTAGAGGTAAAGAGCTCTAATGGCTGGTGAATTTTTGTGACATTCCTGTTATCGTGGAAACATGAGAATAGGATAGAGCAAGAAAATGTGTTTGGAGGCAGTGCCTTCCTCTCGGTCTAATGTTTCCATCTCTTGGGCTTTTGCTGTAGGTTCAGGGACCTGTTATAGTAGAGGATACCTGCTTGTGCTTCAATGCCCTGGGGGGGCTTCCAGGACCCTACATGTAAGTAGGAGGGAACTTGCTTCACCTTTTGTGTTCCACAGTTAGGAAACAGTCTGACAGGGTGTGCTTCACAGGGGATTCTCCACACGCCAGGAGCAATAGGGTCAGGGAGGTGATTACTGGTCTGTGTCCTCAACTTCATCCAGCACTCCAGAGGCTGGAGTTAACTCCTTGAGCCCTGTAAGTCATGGTGCAGGATGAGAGAGACAGACCTGAATTGTTGGCTCTCGCACCCAATCTGTGGTGATTGCTCTTGCAGCCAGCTTGGGAACCTGGCCCCAGAGCGGGCTCTGTGCAGTTAAGGCACCGTGCGTTTTTTTTGGACTCTGGGAGGAGTGCCCCATAGGTTCTCACAGGGACTGCTTTAATCCAGCGGATAACAAGATTATTACATTACAGTGTAACTCCTCTAATAAAATACTGCCTTAGCTCCTGGAATTAACTTTTAGTATGATTAATTCTTCCAAACTATCTTTGCTAAGCTGAGATGTAAAAGTTTTATATGATGAAGTTGGTAGTAGAACTGTGTGTAAGATGTGAACAAGTTGAGTTGAGAAATGTATTTCAACATGTTAGTGCTCATGAGTGAGAACTGGGTTGTTTACATAGACCCCAGTACTGCAGTACGTTAAATACCCCGCTGCTGTTTTCACTGTGTCCCATTCAGTTTAAGAGCTAAGTTTGTCATTATTGGTAAATAGTCCAGAATAAGGTGATTTGATTGCACATTTAAGAGGGATTCAAAGGGCTATGAAAATGTAGGCAACAATATCTCAAGGATGCCTGTATTTTTGAGAAATAATAGCAAAAATTAATCTTTCCTCTCTTCTTCCCCTTCAGAAAATGGTTCCTGGAAAAACTCAAACCAGAAGGTACTGCCTCCCATGTTACTGCTCTGCATGTAACTCTGTCCTTTCCAAATGAAATGGATCCTGCCCGTGCCGGGTTCTGCTGAGCGTGCATGTCCACTGCGCTGCCCATTTCATAGCTGTTTCCTTTCCTGTCTGTCCAGTTCTGTCCCTTCACATTCTCTCCTTAAGCCTGTTCTGTGCCCTTCTTCACGAGACGTTGTTTCCCACAGTAGTTTCAGCATCATCCCTGGATTCCCAGGCTCCTGCCTCTGCAGGGTGGTGCTAGGGCTTGTCAGAACTTCTTGTTTTCATCACTATGACCTGGAAGACCTGCTGCTCCCTTTGGCTTCTGTGCAAGCACCTCTCCACTAATGCTCACCTCTCCTGGTGTGCAGTGATTGCCTTTGATCCTGTGGTTAAGAGTGTGACTGCAAATCCTGCACTGGTGTCACAAGCATGGGCGTTAATCACGCTAATTCCGAATGGCCTTTAGTCCTCTCTGGTGGACTTGTTTGCTTCCGTGCCCAAATTAGTAGCGGGACCCTGCAGCTCACGCTGTGTTAGATCTGAAGGGCTGGCTTCAGTCCTATGAGGGACCCAGCCAAGAGCATTCTTGTACCTGAGCTTTGTCACCTCCTGTAGTTTTTCCTCTCCCTTGTGGATGTGAATGCAGAATACCCCCTCCATCCGTCTCTAGGTGGGTGTATTGCGCTCCGAGGGAAAGGCAGTAACGCGGAGATCCTTTCTTTGTTGCTCAGGCCTGTACAAGCTGCTGGCTGGGTTTGAAGACAAATCTGCCTACGCTCTCTGTACCTTTGCATTCAGTACTGGAAACCCAGAGGAGCCAGTGAAGCTGTTCAAAGGCCAGACTCATGTAGGTTGTGTGCTTCGGGGAGGGCTGTTACGTGAATTTCATAACAGCATTGGCTCTATTGAGGACAATTTTAGCTGCCTCTGGGTCACTGAATGCCCCTGTAGCTGCTCTGTGTTGGGAAAAGGCTGAGGGAGGGCGCAGCTGGTGGGTGGTGGGTGCTGAACGCTGCAGCCCTTTCACCCAGCTGTAGGTACTGAACTCTGCATGTTACCTCGGGCTCTTCAGCCCCCTTGTCTCCCTCTGGCAGGGTTGTATTTGAGTGCAGTTGTTAGCTCTGTTAATTGGGGGGGTAAACGGGCTGTCAATGTAGGGCAGCAAGATGGAGCACTGAGTTTGGGGCTGCTAATTTTGGTTATGTCCTGGGAATGAGGACAGGACCACGCAGGGAGCCTGTGGTGGCCACAGCGTGAGCTGTGGCCGTGTGTAGCTCTTCGGTCTGTGTTTGAAGTGCAGCTGCAAGGGAAGGGCTGTGAAACCATGGCTTATGGAGGTTTTTTTGCTTTCTCATGGCAGGGGCTGATAGTGGAGCCCAGAGGCCCTCGAGATTTTGGCTGGGACCCCTGCTTTCAGCCAGATGGCTACAACCAGACGTAAGTGGTGTTTTACCTACAGCTCTTGACATAAGGAAAGCCAAGGTCAAGGTTGTGTGTCAAGAGCAACTTAGGAGGAAGGGTGTCAGGGAGGAAACCCCTTCCTGGATCTGAAGGTGGTGGGTTCTGGGGAACCCCTCGGGTCAGGATGGGGGTGGTTTGTTTTGCCGGTGTGTCACTACAGATGCCCCGCTGCAACTGAGCAGGGAGATGGTGAGAGAGGGGGAGCGCTCAGTGACTGGGGGGACAC